GTGCTTGTTGTGGCAAAGAATAGTTTTTGTAAAACAATTTGATACTAAGTTGTGAAGAAACACTCATTCCAAAGAAAACAGAAGTGCATAATTATGAATAATACCTTTATTATAATGTTAATTTTTAGCTATAATGTATTTATTTTCACATATTGTTTTTAACATAGAATATAATACTTAATAAGTGTGATGAAAATACTTGTCATTCCCTCTCATCAGTTACTAGGATGGTTGCTGGCTTTCTGAATTAAAGGCATTCAATTTCTGTTAACAAAGCATCGTAACAAACCTGCAAAATTATAGCAAAATGTTTTTTGATATTCAATCACAAAATTAAGAACTTGTGTTTAACTCAGACTAATATCATGGCACTTTTAAGTTTAATCAATATACAAATAAAAGTGGTTAGCATCTGTTGGAATTTAAGTAACAAACCTTTTTTTTTTAAATGAAATGATGTACATAGAATATGTTTATGTATTTCATTTTGTGAGAATATTTGCTGCAAAAGTTTTTAGTTAGCATGTTTTGTTTTGTTTTTTAATTTCATTCTGAGATCTGTTACCCCATGAACTTGTTTGTTACTGGTTGAAAATATTATGAAATCATGAAATGGTTGTTCCCAAAATGCTTACATAATAAATTAAATATTTTAAGTATGATGATTCATGCTTTAGGTTTTGGTAAAAAATGGAAATAATTTGTAACCTATGGGTAAAATTGTTCAGCTAATATTTGCTTCAATGATTTTATGATACTAATATACCATATTTGCTCCTTTAAGCACTCCTGTTCCTATAAATGCCTGCCACCCATTTGTTTGAGAAAGTACAAATCCTAGTCAGCTGTGAGATAGATATGTAACAAGATATTGAATGTATAGTATTTAAAAATAATTGTACTTTTATATGTAGTGTTATTTGCCATTACTTTGGTAAAATTAAATTTTAAAGTGTTTTTTTGTTTTTTACAGTACTTTGAAGTCTATGCATGCATTTACTTAAGTTAAAAGTGTTATTTCACTTTTTCCATAATGTGGTGGTTCATTAAGTGCAAAAGTCAGTGGCAGTAGAGTTTAACACTGTGAAGGTCATGATTGGACATACCTGTAGTTAATATTTTCAGTAATCAGCCATTTTCTGATGTTTAAATAACTGCTACGAAAGTAATACTCACCTCCTCACACAGAATAGCTTCTTTCCTTTTGAGTTTATATGGTCTACCAAAGAGATTTGCATCCCTTTGGCCTTGTGAAAACTTCCATTTAATCTCATGTGAAACAATGTGAACTTGCACCTCTGCATGATGACGTCGTCACCACAGCAAAATCCTCCATCAATAGGAGTGTGACACACCTTCATGTGCAATGACTTCCTCTACATTCGCTCTCCTGTGTCCTCATTCTTATCTATGGCACTTTTTATCCTGAGTTTGCTGAGCTTTGCAAGTTTTTCAATTTTCACTTGATAGAGTTTATTATGCTCAACATGAATTCACATTTTAATGTGACTACTTCTAATGCTGATGTGAGGGAAGAATCTCCTCTCACAGAACAATTTACCCACATTTCTGCTAGAATATCATTATCTGCGGAAGACAAGACACCCACCTTCCATCATGTGGTGGGGTCCATTATGCAGCCAGGACCCTCTGCTTCCATCCCTTCACCTTATTTCGAGTCTGAAATTGAAGAGAATGAATTTGAGCACCTCCCTTTTTGCATTAGGAACTACTCTACCTTATGAATAATACTGCCAGACTTCCTCTAATTTTCTTCACCCTATTTCTCAGATAGGTACAGTTATTTCCCTTACTTCATTGTCTTTTGACTCTTCCCATTCACTTTTACATAAACCTTATTCTCACAATTTTTTTTTATTTTGTTCTTCCCTTATTATATCTGTACATGCCAATTCCTTTTGGGTTTGACTTCACTCCCATGGTTTTATGCTTCATCCTCCCTACCTAACTGACTCCTGTGTTCTTCCCTTTAGTAATTCAGATTTCCCATTTCTTGAAGCCCAATTTTTGGAATCACTTTTGCCACTTTGTGGGTTGGATTCATTATCTGCTCTTTCCTTATCATTGGTAAAAGAATAGCCCAAGAGTTGGCTAGCTGCCTTCCCTCTAGTGTTTCACTGCTAAATTATAGATGGATAGTTCAGATAGCCCTCATGTAGCTTTACACAAACTTCCAAACAAACCAAACCTATTCATCTACTGAGATCACATTTCCCAGTTCTGTGCTCTTCCATTTGGTATAGCATCAATCCCTTTGTATTTTCATTCACATTATGTGGGCCTTTGCTTGACTTTTTCACATTCTGGGTCTTCAATTCCATTTTATATCGGCAACAGGCTTCACCTCACCCATTCTCAGGCGTAATTCTCCTAACACATTTCCATTCTTCTTCATGAATCCAATTATTTAGGATAGCTTGTCAATTTACCTATTTCTTCTTTACCCTGACCCTATTTCTCTTCCATTTGGGAATTCTTTTTGACTCATCTCAGCCACGTCCAACCTTCTCCCATTTGCCTACTGAACTTTGTTTCATACTTTGTACTCACTTTCTGCATGAGAGGTTCTTTCTCCTTTGGAGACCATGGCTTTTCTGGAACCTTTCTTGCCACTTGGCCATGCACATATACATCCTCTACAGTGGATGTTGCATGACCATTGGAACCTTTTCAGGGTTCTGTTGTTCTCACTTATTCACCTTCTTCTTCAGGAGGATCTTGGTTGGTGACTCGACCGCTCCAACACCACCTCCGACATTCCCTTAGCTCCTCCCAAACAGCACCTTCACCTATTTGTGTATGCTTTTCTTTAGAATGAATGATGGTCAAATCCAGGCTCTTGGTTCCTGGAAGAGCATTCTCTATTTATCACACCTTTGAACTGCTTGCTGTCCATTGGATATCCTTACATTTCCTTTAATTTTGATCCATTTGGATAGTTCCAAGTTCCACAGTTATGTGTCATATCCACTGACAAAAGAACACTCACTCCAGGTCCCCCTGCTTCCTGACATTGGACCTTCTCCTTTGGGTCCATTCTAATAGAGTGAGTTTAATAGCCTATCATGTTCTGGGTCCACTGATGATCATCATGGGCTGTCTTTCTAAACAAAGCAATGTCCTGCACACAGAATAGTCCCTCTAATCACAAGTCTTTCATTGATCTGCTCTCAACTTGATACTCCCCATGTAGATGCCTTTACCACACCCCTCAAAGCCAAACTTTCTCTCTGTGGAATTGAGTATGCATTTTGGAAGTTAACATTTTCCTTACCTGAAAATTTATTTCCAATAGATATTCACCTCTTCACACATAACCACCCATTCTTTTTACTTTTCTGGTGCACATTTCTTTATTGCTTCATCAAGTGAGAATGTAGAGCGAGTTACTACACATTGAGGTGTGTTTCAATCCTATTGGTGGAGGGTTCTGCTGCATGATGATGTCATCCTGCAGTGGAGCAAATTCACGTGAGGTTAGGTGGGAGTTTTCACAAGGCTGGTGGCTTGCACATCTCTTTGGTAGATCATTTGAATTCATGAAAGAGTCTTTCTGTGTACTGA